ATAGTGATGGAATTAAACAAGATAATTATAATTAATCATATAATATATATATATATATGTATATATAATTATTTTTATGTATATGTATATGAATATAATTCTATATATGCACAAAACTATATATATATGTAAATAAGTATATATGTATATATATATATGTATATATAAAAACATATATATATATATATGTATATAATTATATATGTATATATTTATATACAAATTTATACATATATATCCCGCCGGACTGGAAGCCGTGCTCATCGGTGTGCACATTTTGTCCAAAAAGGGTGATTTTACCACAGTGCCGAGTTGATTTCTGATGTTGGAAACCTTGCAAAATCTGAGGGCCGTTGTTTGCCTTTTCACCGTCATCGCTGAAACGCATGCACCGTTTTCAGCTGGCAGTCAGCATTCTTGTGAATGCATCTCCATTGCCAAGCTCTAGCATAACGTAGCGAACTATAATATACGAAGTACAAGGAACGTTGACATGCCTCCCCACCCCACCCCATCAGCAGCGTAGAATCATGTCACGTAGCAACAACACCAGAGATCTCTGCAGCGTAGTAACAAGTAACGTAGCAACGATCCCAGAGATCTCTGCAGCGTAGCAAACTATAATGTACGAAGTACTAAGTACAAGGAACGTTGACATGCCCCCCCACCCCACCCCACCCCATCAGCAGCGTAGAATCATGTCATGTAGCAACAACACCAGAGATCTCTGCAGCGTAGTAAAACAAGTAACGTAGCAACGATCCCAGAGATCTCTGCAGCGTAGCCAACTATGATGTACAAAGTACAAGGAACGTTAACATGCCCCCCCACCCCACCCCACCCCAACCTAACCTCCGAAATTGTGTTTTTCAAAAACTTGCGTTTTACGAGCACGGCTTTCGGTCCGCAGGCATATATATGTATATAATTATATATATATATATATATGTAAATGTCTATAATCATATATATGTATAAAATGAGAAATATGTACATAATTATTTAGATACATAAATAACTATATGTATATGTAAAAAACGTTTCAGTGGGAAGCACTTAGACTGCGTGCCAATCCCTTTTCCTCTTTTGGGCTCGAAGTCGTTCAATGGTCTCTACGAAAAGTCTCTAAAACGGGCTACGGCATATATACAACATGCATGCCATAGCATGAACAGACATGACTGTACTAGGCACTACATGCCTCCCGAAGGAGTGTCTCTGACCTTAACAGAGTACGAGTGAGAATTTTCTGCGACTGTACAAGTCTAAGTCTTTCTACCCTAGCCTGGCTCAGCCCCATTTGGTCTTCATGCGTCAAGTGCTAAATGGTGTCTTCCTCCGCAAAAGTGGAAGTTGAGTTTCTCTAAGAGCATTTTCATTCGGCCTGAATCCAAGGGTTTGGTAAACAGGTCCGCGAGCATCTCTTGAGTGCTCTTCTTATACAGCTTTGCCTTTCCGGTCAAGATGGCATCTTGTGCCCATAGAAATACGGTATCTATGTGCTTGACCTTTCCCAACCCATGACGGCTTCCGATTGACAGTCCCGTCGTGGCATCCATATATCCGATGATGGGAACATGCACTCCCCAGTCTCGGAGCTGAGACTGTTCTCCAAGTGCTTGGCAAAGTCCGGACACAAGTCCGTAATACTCGGCCTCTCCGGAGCTCAATGCTATCACGGCCTGTGATTTGCAGGTTGTCCGGATTGTGCAGCGGCCTGTGCCTGTCGTTGACTTTCTTGACCTAATACACCCCGCGTGGTCAGCGCCGACCCAAAGTTCCAGTGTAGTAAACTGGTTCTGGTTCGGAAACAGGTGTATCATCCTCGGATGCGAACGAAGATAACGAACTCCACGTTTCAACATCTGCAAGTGTGCCTGAGTTGGTCGCTTCAAACCTTTCGCTAGCTAGCTCCTTTCCAAGAACCAACAGATCAGGTCGATCTTGTGAAAGATACGCCAACCTCATGCTTGCAGAGCGAAACATCGCTGAAGTCTCTTCATCCAACTACTCCGAAGTCAAGGCCTCTTCGATCCTCTCTTTGATCAAAGGCGTTGTTACCTTCGACCCTTCACAAACAACTTCTTGAAGAAGTAGATCCACATGCCTCGGATCTGCCTCCATCTCAATGCCCTTGTCTGTCCACGTCACCAAACGATTCACAAGATAACAATTGAGTGGTCTACATCCTTCATAGATGGGGGTCCCAAAATACCTCTAACGTCGATCGTCCAGTGTTTGCGAAGTTCGGCGGCAAACCATTCCAACCCTGCTTTCGGTCCTACTCCGGTGAAATTGTCACCGTGCACCTCGATGCGGATTTGCTTTTCGGCGTGGTAGTACAAACACGAGTTGCTTTTGGCTTGCTGAAACCCAATTAACATCATCACTGCTTTGATTGCTGCCTCCCAGTTAGCTGGAGCGTCGCGGGTCCCGTAAAGAGATTTCCGCCACAAACCCACTTTGCCAGGTGGATATCCCATTCCACTTGGGAGTTCAACCAGCAACCTTCTGCGAGCAGGGCTCCAGAAATGAGCTTTCTTGACGTCGATGAAAATCAAGCACATAGTTCGATCCATTTGGGTTAACTTACCTTCTAGGTTGGGAACCCTCATGGGTACGGCCAAAGTAAATAATGCACGTAGGGCTGTGATAGGCGGTATAGAAGCAAAGAAATCACTCTGGTGCGAAGGTGTGTCTCCTTTCTGCTTCAGTCTTGCCACGAATCTTGAGCGGTATTTGGGATGTGTCTCATCCCCTTTGTTCACGTCCACCCAACGCGTGGAGATGACTCGCTCGTTGGTAGGTCTGTCGATGACCTCCCAAACACCCATAGCATCAATCACTTGGCATTCTTCTCGGCGTGCCTCCTGGACCTTTGCGGTGTCTAGCGGCTTTCCCGAAACGTTGTCCCAGTAGAGTGGCTCCTCTGGGTCAATCACAAAGTGTTCTTCACAAACGGGTAGTGTTTCAGGTGACTGCTCAACTTGTGCATAAACAGCTCCAAGAAAACCTTGCCTTTGAGAAAGTAAAACGTTTGTATGGGAAGTTTCAACGTCTTCCATTGGATCAGAGCTCAAACCAGCTTGCTCTACATCCCTCTTTGTTCCAGGCTGGCGTGTTGAAACAACACTGCCTCCCGGCTGCTCAGGGGTTTCGAGCCTAGGATCCTGTGGTGGATCCTCTGCAGGTCTTTTGATTCCTGACCCACTTGAAGTTCCAGATGCTCGCTCAACATCTTGGATAGCCAATCTTTGTCTCTTTGAAGCATCTTGTTTGGCATCCTCTTCTCTTCTAGCTGCAATCTCAATTCTCTTGCGTCCATACTCAGTCTCTTGCAACCTTTGGACTACCCTCAAACGACAATCTTCAGAATGATTAACTCCTTGTCGATCCAAACCAGAGCGTATAAGAGTACAAGCTTTGCAACCAGCACTATAACCAAACTTGTCAAAATCATCTTGTCGAAGATAAACACGTCTGAAGTGAGGTTTCAATTCACTTGTTTCAACTTGTTTGACTTCTTCCTCTGGCTGTTCTGGCTCAATGGACACTGGCTCTGGAAGTTCCAGTGCCTCTCTTGGCTCTTTCTGCTTTGCTGGATTGGGGGCCATGGTGTACCAGTAAGTGATTGAAGTAGCTGCAAATTCCACTGTTGATCATCCGGTTTGCGTCTCACTGATTGTACAACAACAACTCCTTTGGGGGTTCCAATGATCTTCTCAGCAGTGTGAAGCCGTACTCCAAGAAAAATTCCAGATTCCCAACGCGGCTCCAACTTGTGGTTGGTTTTGACTCGAAAGTCCACACACTCACCAACAGATGGAAGTGCAACTGTCCAATCCCGACCCTTGATGCGTCTAAACGCTGTCAAACCATCTCGAGCTTTTTCATCAAATGAGAACAAAGTGTACAACGTGCCAACATACTCAATCAACCATCCCAAGATAGGTGATCTTGGGTCCAACTGTTGTCCAACCTTGTGTTCGACATGGTCCTTGAGAGTTCTGGCTAAACCTTGCGCAATACCCACAGATGATTCAGCTTCACTGTTTGACATACCATGGCTATCTCCTTTTGGGCTGTTCTCCAACTGCACTGAAATTCCTTGAGATGACAAAGTATTCTTGACTGCAGTGGCCAAGGCGATAATAGATGGCTCTTGATCTGATTTCAAGGTCAAAGAAGTGTAACCAAGAAATTTGATGTCCCTCAAGAGCGCAACTTCAGGGTAGTAGTGTTCTGTGCCTTTGGCAGGAAGCAAATGTGAGAAAATTGCTTTGGTGAAACGGTCTCGCACAACCAAAACTGGCATCTTTTGTCCACCAACAGCATCAGCCGGTAGTTCTCCAGGCGAACCAAAGAAACCATAGTCTAGTGATACAACAGGACGACCCTCATCATCCTGGCTGTGGTCAACTGCTCTGTGGGAGAACGATTTACCACGTCCTCTGACACAGTGACTGCACCATGACCTAAATGGCACATGGCAAACCTCATGGGCCTTTACCATCTCTGGCGTAGGCCTTGCTGGAATTGGCAACGGCTTGGCTGAAGTTCCAGCATCTTCTTCAGCTAGCGCTTGACCCACAGGTCTTACGGCTCTCCCTGCCTTTGAAAACTTGCATCATCCTTTCCATCACATGGACACCAAATCCAAGTTGGGATCTTCCATACACCGTTCCTGAAGTAGATCTTGATGGACTTGCCATTCTTCAGGGCAATCTGGCCACCATCTGGTGTCATCTTTACAATGTGTCCCAAGTTTGTTATCTTGCCCACACTGAGTAGTGGCTTAGCGCTGTCTACCACTGAAAACGTTCCAGTTAGTACCAGCCCACATTGGAAGGCCATTTGAACAACCTTCTATCCCAAGTTTGGGATGATACGTCCATCAGCAAGTGCAAAGTCTTTGAAGCCTTGAGGTGGCTTCATTGGAATTCCTGGGAGTACACCCAGTGGAAGGGTGTTGTCTGAAGCACCACTATCCACGATGAAATCTACACGGCACCAGTTGCTTCCTTCTGGTCCATCACGTCTTGGTGGCAACTTGCTGGGGGACCAAAGCTTAGCAAGAAGCAGCTCATCTGTCCCCTTTGACCTGGGCCTTCTTCACCTTCTTCAGGATCTATCTCATCATCCCCCTCCTCGGGCGCCTCTGCATGAGCTGTTGGCTCTCTCAACTCATCATCAGTTGGGTCAAGACCTTCTAGTCCAACATCATCACCTTCCTGACTCTCCTCAGAGGATGGAGGTCCCATACGTCCTTTGTCAATCCTCAACGGCCCTGCAACCCTTCGATCATCAAAGTTGATCCTGCGCCTCTTTGGAGATCCTTCCAAGTTCTCTTCATTCTCATCGGCCTCCTTCTCCTTCTTTGGACCTTTCTCTGGAGACTTAGGCTGTTCAGAGCCACGACCAGAACTATAGTAGTTCTCCCATTGATCGTGCTCCCAATAGGACTGCTTGTCCCAATTGCCTTTCCACTGGTTGGACCAACTCTTCGATGATCCACCATGGTACTTGGAAGTGTCAGCCATCGACCAGCGATCCCGGTGTGCTGAACCAGCGCTGCCAGATGCTTGTCCTGATGACTTTCCAACTTCAGCCAACAAGGCTTGAACCTCTGCTTCCTCTTCATCCTCAGGGGTGACGATGGGCTTCTCCTTCTTCTCCTCCTGTTTCTTCTTCTTCTTGGAGCTCTCTTCCTTGAGTTCTTTGAGAAGCTGATCTTCCTTCCTCTTCTGCTGAGACTTGCTCTTCTTTGAAGCCTTGTCCTCCTTGAACTTGGCCTTCTTCTCTTCCAACCTTCTCTTCTCACCAGGTGGGAGCTCCATACTCCTGCGCTTGACTTCAGGACACTCTTCATTCCAATCATCCTTGGTGAAGGTCCTCTCCTCCTTACTCATAGGCGCAGCTTGAACATCTTTTGACAACTCCCTTTCAGCCATGGGGAACGTCCTCACCTTTCTCCCAGAATCCAGTTGGTTGAAGCGCTCCTCAGCTTCCCCTTGCTTTGCCACATTGGCAATAGCTCTTGCCTTGAGACCAGACTTCCTGTGCTCAGCAGCTCTCTTCCTCTGCCTCTCCTTGATGTCCTGCCTGACAGAGTGCTTTCTACCACGTGCCTTCTGCCTTTCAGCTTGAATCTTCTTGATCTCTTCCCTCTTCTGGGTGACTGTCTCCTCCAAAGCTTTGCGTGCTGGATGGTCACGATCCAGAAGTACCAAGGTTCCATCGATGGACTTAATCTCCTCAAGCTTCTGCATGATCAAGGCCTGAGTGAAGTTAGCCACAGCACCAGGTGTAACCCAACAGGCTGAGGCTTCTTCTGCGATGGCTCCTTTTCCTCACGCTTCTTCTCCTCCAAAGCTTTCAAGTCTTTCTTCGTGAGATCCTGGCTCTTCTCTTCTCTCAAAGCCTTCAAGTCTTCCTCATTCTCTTCAGGAACCTTCACCGCTTCATCATATTCCTCATAAGCTTCAGATTCACCTTCTTCAATATCTGAATCAAGAGTGTATTCAGATGAGTCGACCTCCTCCACATGTGTCATTCCGAACTTCTCTGACTTGCGCTTGGGTGTTGCTTTTATCAACACCGTCTCCTTCTTCTCGACGTCAGCAGCTTCTTGAGCAGGTGGCTTCCCTGAAGAAAGCGTCAACTTCATTCTCTCCTTGCTCCTCTCGAGAGCTTTCCTCAAAGGTTCAGAATCAACTTCTTGGACCTCGGCATTCACCAAGTTGCCAGTCACTGGATCCCAAGGTCCATATTGCCTGCGTCCCTCTGGCAACACGGAGGGGTCCTTCTCCCAAGCATCGATTTATTCTTGGTCTGGATGTCCATCAGTGCCAACCTTCGACTGCAGGTGTTGCTTGAATTGAGATGGGGTGTTGAAGCCTTTGTGTTTGCAGCGCTGGTATCCACAGTAGAACCTGAATTCGTAGCAGCTTTGATTGCATACCAACCTGAAGGGCATATTCCAGAACACATCTGGGCGCTTCCAAATCTTTCCCTTCATGAACTCCTTCTGTTCTCCTTCCAACGCCTTCTCAAACTTAGCGAGTGGCCTCTGTTTGGGTGCTTGCTGTGCTGAATCAGCACTGGCAACACAGATGGCACCTTGCTCACCAGTTTGTTCATCCCATTGGCCATCTTGGTTTGGCCACGCTTCTTCCTGGCCTTCTGCTTCAGGCTCTTCAGACCACTGTTGAGTTTCCTCTTGGCTCTCAACTGCGTACTGCTTTCCAGACTTGGATCCCATCTTGCTTTTACCTTTTCCTTTGGACGATTTGCCTTTTCCCTTTGGAGGTCCCTTTGAACCTTTGGTTCCCTTACCGGTGGATGAGCCTTTTGAGCTTGAGCCCTTGCTAGTGGATGAAGATCAAGTACCCTTTGACTTGCTATGCCAACAGTCTTTGGAAACATGTCCAACTTTTCCACATGTATAACATGTTTTGGTACTCTTACCTTTTCCTTTCCCTTGAACATAGCCCAAATCCATAGGAGCGGCACCACCATCATCAACCATTGACTTAGAAGCCTTTTGTTCCAAGAAGGAAATCACTTCACTACGCATCTTGGGGTAGGTGTCAAACCGCTGGATGTTGAGTTCAAGATGTTCTTCGAGATTTTCTGGTACCATAGCCAACAGAATCAGAACTGCTCGAAGAGTCTCATCTGAAGGTTTTGTCTGTCCTCTTGATTCATACTCAACAATGTCAGATTCAAATCGATCTAGGCTACTCCTCATAGTTGACATAGTAGCTCTTGCTGGACTGAGAATCCTTCTCAACAGTCTGATGTTTGTTCGATTGTTCTGAGGCTCGTAAGTAACACACAATCTTCTCCACGCATCAAGCCCACACTTTTTCCTCGAGTTGTAGACCACGTCGTAGGCCATCCCTTGTGTCAATGAAACCAAGGCTACATGAAGATGGGCGTCAATTGCATCAACGTCCTGCAATGTGCCGTTCAGGAGATCCACAGCAGAGACAGGATCATCACCTTTTCCTCTGGTATAATCTAGAGCTTGCTGATCAGTAGGCCATTGACTGCAGAACCACGTTTCGAATTTGTAACTCCAGGGCTTCCATTGTTTCTGAACTTCCTCATGACTACCTTTGAGGATATCGGGCTTTCCAATCCCTTTCACATCAACAATCCCTGGTCGAGTTGCAGATTTCTGGAATCCATCTGCCAGCTTCTGTAGACCTTCTCGTGTCTCTCTGGCAATCTGCGCTTGCCCTTGCTGCAACTGCAGCAGCAACTGTGCAAAGACTTGTTCTGCTTGTCCAGCCCCTGTTGCCCCGACTGGGCTTCCACTTGGACTTCCTGGCCCACTCATCGCTGATTGGGGAAGTTTCTTGATGTCCTATCCAAAAGTGACCTTGGATAGTTTCTCAGGTACTGCCCAACGTTGGCAAATACCCTTTGCAGGTGTCTCAAGTTGAGAACCCTCTGCACCAGCCTTAACCAAGTCCGGTCTAAGGCACTAGGCTGTGCTGAGTCAGCACTTGCCTGTCCTTGATCCAAATGGTTCACCCAAAGTCTGAGTCCCCAGAGTCAGAGCTCCAGGGCTCCGCTACCATGCAAAAATAATGTTTCAGTGGGACGCACTTACACTGCGTGCCAATCCCTTTTCCTCTATTGGGCTCGAAGTCGTTCAATGGTCTCTACAAAAGGTCTCTAAAAGGGGCTACGCCATATATACAACATGCATGCCATAGCATTAACAGACATGACTGTACTAGGCGCTACATCTCTACATACATATATATGTATATAATATGTATTTATAGATATAATAAACATATATATATATATATATGTAAATAATTAAAAATATTTGTGTATAATTAAATAAATGTGTATATGTATAAAATAAGAAATATATATATATAATTATACATATGTATATAATCATATATATATATGTATATGAAAATTATACATATGTATATAATTATATATTTATATATACAGATATAACTATATATATATGGATATAAGTAAATAAATATACATGATTGTTTACAAATAATGATATATATAATTATTTACATATGTATATGATTATATAGATAATCATATACATATGTGTATAATTAAACATATAATCATAAACAAATGTAAATAAATATATGTAATGATAAATAAATGAATATATATATATAATTATATATGTATGCAATTGTATGTATGTATATATATGTATATAATTAGATAAAATTATATATACATGTATATACTTAAATATAATTATATACATATGTATATAATCATTAAAAAATCCCATCACCCATCACTGAATATCACTATATCAATCTATATCATACTCTATTCATCTATTTCCCATGCCCCATGATATATTTTCCCAGGCGCATAGTCATAGGGTGCATATCCATGATGTGGATCACCAGGACCTTGCGAATCCGATCCTTGCTGAAGGCTCGCAAGCGCGAGTCATACGAGCTGGACCCACAAGGGTTGACAGGGAAGATGTATGGATATATTCCCTTACATAGGCCTTATATAGGCCTTATATATGGTAGGTACCTCCAATTTAGGTTCATGAAAATCCCACTGATATCATGTTAATTCATGATATATCTGCAGCTTCTGATGGCGTCATAAAATCAACTTCGAACTGCGAGGCCCCACTTTGTAGAAATTATGACAAATATATTATAATTGCAGCAAAATATACCCAAAGGTCGCTGCAAATTTCTTCTCACCACCTGCAACTCATACGACTAGGTAGACTAGTTCTGACATGTTCTGACTGTAATTCTGTTCCGAATATACCAATGTTTCTGGAACTTCAAGGCCCCATCAATGGGTATCGGGCATCCTTACTAGCAGTTGGAATTAGACTCATTAGACGTTTCTGTAAAGGTGTCGCGATTTTGGTAGACCTGTTGGAAAGGGGAGACCCCGCCACAAGGCTGCGGTGGCTACTGCTGACTCTTGATGAAGCGGACGCTCCTGAAAAAAATGCCCTCCATACGCACAATCCCTGAACAAAACAGAGACAGTTCTTCAGGGCCCTTAGGGAATACACAACTTCTGTAGTTGAGAAACAAACAAAAAATAATATATGTTTTATCTTTCCAAAAATTGGCTCTTTGTTATTCTGAAAATCCATGATAATGGAAATTCCATGCCAATCCCAAAAAAATCCCGGATAAAGCATGTGTAAATGGGAGATATTCCATTACCCCTGTGGATTACAGATGGCCGGCTTGGCGGTTTTGATCCCCTTCTGGCATCTCATGTCATGACAGCACAACCACCCTTCCTCAATCCTTCAAACACGGCTTCATAATCTTCATACATCTTTGTCTGAACATAGAGTACCACCCGAAATCCAGTGATTTATTTTCCCATATTCCGCATAAAAAAGACTATTTTTTGAATGGGGCAGGTTGCCCCCGACAGGTCATCATAACTTTCACCATCAGCTGTCCAAGAGGCCCATGTAGGATTTGTCATCTGTCGTATATTGCTTTTGCGATGTTTCGGACTGAGGTGGGCTTCGGCCACGTTTGGAGAGGGGTCATGGGTAGTGGGCTTTGGCCATGGGAAAACAACGGTGACTCACTGGGGGGCATCCAACGAACATCAAAATTTGGGAAGTGACCTGAGAAAAACTAGAGAGCTATGTGTTCCGATGGATTGTGGATCCGCACCTGAAGCGTGTCCCAAAAGATGCGCAGGTAGGGACCGTGACCGTCTAACTTTTGCGTGGAGTCGGCGCGTTTCTGCCTCGGAAGATCAGACTCAGACATGGTGGCTTGAACAGGGAAAATATCTGGGTAAATTACAATATTTCACTAACCTGAATTAAGGCCTTTTCCGTTGACCAAGAAGGGCGACCCCCAGCATTTGCAAAAAGGGTGGCCCTGGCACGACTCCCAAGAAACAGATGTCTAATTGCCATTTTTGGCACGTATGTTACGCCTTTGCAAATCTGCAAGTCTTTGACGTTCTCGAATCGGTTGTACACATAACTCCTCATCTTCCAACCACCAAGGAAAAGAACCAAAGCTGATATCTGGTAGTCCCTGCATATAGTCAGTTCTGAGGAAAAAGGATTGCAGAATCTGAACAACCTGGCCTTGCTCAGGAAACTGTGGTCTCACCTTCAAGCCCGTAGTTGCTTTAAAGCCATACACAAATAATGCAGAGACCTTGCCTTGAGTAACATGAGGAGGAAGAACACTTGCATCAGCATTGACCCCAGGTTCTTAACCATCAAAGAAATATTCGCCGTTTGTTCCGCCAACGTAACATTCAAGAGGTTACATTCCGCTAGGGTTTGTGGCTGGATGACATGTGCAAGATTATCCTGTTGTTTGCGCTTGATCGGCAACCACATGTTGTGCCGAACTGCCACCGCTACAGCTATCTCAGTCCATGAAATGCCCAAGTTTTTGTGTGCAGCATCGGAATCAGCATCAGAAGGCCATGAGCATGATTGCAGCCAGTCCACCAATGACATGATCACATGTTTGCCGCATACCGCACATTGTAATCGACTCTCCTCAAACTGCGGAAATACCCAGCAGGAGTGCGGAACACTCCAGTCCGTGAGCTTCTGAAACACATCAACCGAGGGTACAGCTCCTTCATTGTCCGCAATCCCAACATGTTGTGTATTCTGTAAAGCCGCACGTGTGTACTGAACTTCCAAACAGCATTTATAAAAGTCAGAAACAAGTGTTATATCCTTAGCAGTGTCATCATGGAGTTGAGAGAGTTGGTGAACAAGTTGCGGCATAAGGTTCCAACAAGCCCATTGTGCAAGCTTATTATCTGCCTCAGCATTGCCCAGCAAATGGTACCTGGTAAAAGGGTCTCTCTCTTGTGCTGGATCCTGATGGGCTTTGACTTTATGCAGGTGAAGTCTAGAAACATCAGCATGAATCAGGCGTACAATAAGATCCCGATCTGAATGGTCCATGAAAAGCATCGAAGCATTGGGAAGCAAGCACTTCTGCCACACGTCCATGACCCAAGCGCTGTCTGTATGAACTACAATATCCCTAGCTCGAAACGTTTCAAGTATCCATAGGATGGCAGCAAGTTCAGCTCTGTGTATACTCTCTGTACACCCTGCAACCTGCCACAAACCAGTCTTTGAAAAACAGGCGGTGTCCGATTGTTCCCCAAAATTATTTGCATGTGATGTCTTCTTTCCATGTCTGTAGTGGCAAAGTCAATGATGATACCATATGCAGCAAAACGAGTGCGTGCACTGTT